CAATAATGGCGAGCAGTTTTTTTTTTTTTTTGCCGTAATAAAAAAAAAAGTCACTTTTAACATATTATTTAGATTCCAAAAATAAATTGTAATAAAAATAATCCCATTTATGATGTTTTAAAAATAGATTTAAGACATTTTAATACCAATTAAGGCCTTAGTTTTATTTTGAAGAATTCAATGCCTTTTAAGAGTTTTTAAGGACCTGCGGGAACCCTGTAATGGTAACATATCGCCCAGCACTAGTCCTGAAGTTTTCCATGCATACTTAAAGCTCAGGTATAGAGCTGTCCTCTCCAGCTCAGAGTTCTTCTGAATCTGACAGACTGCTCTGAAAATCAGTGCAATAAACACGTCGTTTTTTTATGTGAAGGCTGAGAATGGGAGTTAAGAGTCTGAGAGAGCTGCCGGAGAATTTTCCACACATGATCCCAGGCACAGACCTTTTACTATAAAACATTAGAGCAGTCAATGGCTCATAGGAGGCCTGTCGACCTGTGAGGGCTTGACTTGATTAAGAAGTGGAAAAGTCTGGAGGGAAAAAGTCTGACTCCATAAAGATGGATTCCCACTTTGATGAGGTTTAGTGAGTTAAACCGCAGTTAAAAACAAATAAAATTCTGGACAAACTGTTCTTATGGAAACAAATTAAACAGATAAAATGATGGAAACCGTGTAACTGTCCAGAGCTTTTGTTTAGGGCAACAATAGAAATCAGCAACAGACCAGAGAAACGATCAGAGAACTGAATCTAAACTATTTCCTCCCAGTGAACGTCCATAAAAAGCTGACATTTCTAAAAGAAATTCATAGATTTACTTCAGAGGAATACACTGACTTGTGTGGAAAGTAGATGTAGATCTACTGCATACAGAAGCTACAGTCCTCTGGCTAATGAAGAGGATAATAAGATCAGCAAGTTAGACCCTGTAAAGCTCATCAGTTAACACTCGGGGTCTGAAAATGGTAATTTAACATTTCTTTAACTGTTTATGTTTCTTTGGGCAGGAGGAAGACGAAGAAATGTGGACGGACTTCTTAATTAGCAGCTCCTGGTTTCATGTTGCGGTTATTTGAGATCCTCTGGGAACAAACTGTTCTAAGTAGTGAAACTGATGAACTGGGACAAGAACCTGTTTGCTTTCACTGCAGATTGAAAGGTTCAAACGAATCAATGGAAAGAGACCAAACCACCTCAGAAAACCTGAGCTTCACTTTTAATTCGCTCTTCTGCTTTTATGCTTCTAATGAATCCCTAATTTTAAACAGAAGCTGTTTATATGACCTACTTTGTATTGACATTCATCTTATTAGACGGTGGTTTCAGTCAAAGAGGCAGGGTTGGTCCCAAACATTTCCTTATTTGGTTAGATAAACCTTTTTTTTTCCTAACTGTGTGAAATATTCAGTCGGAGTAATTTATAAGACACCAACCGCATATTTGCCCCAAGCAGTTCTAGTATAACATTTCTGTAGATTTTTCTTAGAAAGGAGCCATTTTTTTCCATTATGTTACAGTTTAAAGATGATTCCCATGATAAAACTCAGTCAGTAATCATAAAAAATAAATACTGAATTATCAACTTTACTATCCTGCATTTTCACATAATCACTGCAATAAATACCAGCAAGTATTTACATTAATGCTGCCTTCATGTGGTATCGTAATTATGCAATGCAAAAAATCTACATCTAAATAACTAATTTTTTCTTAAATCAAGTAGATTTTTTCTTGAACTGAGGAGGTAAGTGAGACATTTTACTGAAGGAACTAGACAATTTACATTTAAAATAAGAAAAAAACAATTGCATTGTCTTACTTCAAGTGCTTGTTATCTAATTATCTTATTTTAAGAGTAAAAAAATTCCCCATTGGTAGATCATCGTATTTACTTACTCAACTTAAGGGTAAACACACAATTTAAGAAATATTTACTTATTTCTAGATGGTATTTACAGTGTGGTAAATATAAAAAACCTGCGTATGAACGCACACTCATGTGATTTCCACTGGAAAGCTGGAAATTGTGATATCTGAGTTGCTGAGATGAGGTCAACTTTGACCTTATAACATGGCGGAGAGTGTCGATCCGATTCTGTATGGGCAGTAGAGAATTTTAAAATGAACGTCATTTGATTTTATAAATCTCTAGCTAGCAGTCAGTCGATGCCTTTGATGAATCTCCTTCCTGCAGCAGATGAACTAGGAAGTCTATAAGTGTCTTGCCGATGCAGCAGGTCAGGATAATCCACCATTTTTCTCTACTTTAGCACATTCCCAGAGCACATGAAAGCAGCATTAATCAAACCTTTAATTTAAGTCATCCCGAATATTTGCACAGAGGTTTATTCTGTAACTTTGAATCTGCCTCCAGTGCTGGTCCTTTTCCATTAGTAGCCACCTGGTGAGCTTCTGTGTGGCTTAATGAAGCGTTTGGGCTTTTCCAGTATTGGCATCGATGTGAAACTGTTACTGCTTATAGTACCTGCCTAGATGCGTTTCCAATTTTCTGAATCAGAATGCATCGTCAGGAGCCTGCGCTGTGGGAGTCACTGATTAGCAGCATAAACGCTGTGATGTATATTCTGTAGCAAAATCTAAAGACGAGCTGAAAAATTTGCCCTTTAAGATTCCAACTGGAAATTTACAAAGTAGAAACAGGAACAAGAGAAAAAAAAAAAACTTCTGAGTGATTTATTGAAAACAACAATTTGTTATAACCTCACGAACGTAAAGACTAAAAAGCTTCCCGACTTTGACGGCTGTCGGATACTCGACTCGTATTGTCAGCCTCTTCAGATGTGCCGCCGATTGCTGCTGAGATTGCAAGTGGAAAACCTTTCTGTGTTACGGAAAGGTTTAGTGGCAGAACCCAAATCATTTCAGAGGCGCAGAGCCGATTGGTTTGCAATCAAGACAAGGGAAGGCCCTCCATCCCAATTAAGGCTGTTACTTTGCGAGCTGCAGCCAAAAAACAGACTGCATCTCCAATGGAAGCAGGGTTTATACAAGAATGAGTAATTCTGAATTAATGCTATCAACAAGTACCCATGACTTTATATATATATATATATATATATATATATATATATATATATATATATATATATATTTTTTTTTTTTTTTTTTCCCTCCGCCTCAAGCTTCTTTTCCAAACATACAGCTACGATCAACCGGAAGCAGTTCCATGCAAATATATTGCGATATAATATATATATTTTTATAATTGTTTTTTTAAATTAAGCATTTTAAATGCCACAATAATAACATTTAATGAACTTTAATGCCAATTAAGGCCTCAATTTCAAAAATAATAATGACTTTTAATGATTTTTTTAATGACCCGTGGAAACCCTGGGAAGGCTTCAAAGATAAAAAAAAATCTGCCTGATCTCCAACAAACTGCGAGTTTTCTGACTTTTTGTTATTTAAATGTGTTGTTTTTTCTAATCTTTGGTGTCAGACTTTTATCAGGTGATAAAAAGCTTGTTTCCATTTCAATAAGTTGCTTCCACATGATGTCACAGATGGAGGAAAGGAAGTAAGATAGCGTTGGACCTGCCTGTTTTGTGCTGCTCCGTTCAGAGAAAAAGGGTTATTATTGGATGTCTAAGGTTTGCTTTTATTGTGGTTAAGCCGCTGACAACCAATTATTGTATTTGTATAAGCGGCTACTTTTTTCCCACGCTTTGAACCTGCAGCTTATAAGAACGTGCAGCTTTTCTGTGGATTTTTCCCAACTGCCAGAGGGGGAAGTCAAAGCTGGGAATGAAAGAATAAGGGGCTAATTTTAATTTAGCACATGGACATGCTAGCATCAGGCATAACGGAGAAAAAATGTCCCGAATTCACACATTTTGACATTTATTTGCCGCATTGAAGCTGCCGAACCAATGAAGAGACTGGGCTCAACTCCTGCAAAGCGGAAATAAAGAGCCAACGAAGCTCCGTCTTTCAGTAGAAGCTCTTTATTACTGAGAGCTAACAAGCTAATGGGAGCTAGCATTCGTCTTCGTTCCTACTCCAGGGCCTATATGTAGAGCTACAGGTCCGCCTACAGGTTTGGTGGGAGACAGTTTAGTATATAACAGCGACTTATAGCCCAGTGCGGCTTATATATGTTTCCAGTTAGTTTTTTTGTTTTAGTTTTTTTTGTGGGCGTGGCTTATAGTGAGGTGCACTTTATAGTCCGGAAAATACGGTATTCTACCCAAACCTTCTAGGCTTTTATTTGCTGTTTGGGGGTAACAGGATGAAGGACCTGGTACTTTAAGTTATCTATGGCTTTATTTGGCAAACCTTGAGGATCGGTAAAAAACTAACCTTGATTACATATTAGGAAACATCACAACTATCATTTGTACGTATTTGCATGAAACTGGATCTTAACTCTCTTGACAACTGTTGTCTCCACTGATACTTACGTCCTTCCCTCCACTGTCAAAATCACCTTATTTTTGTTTTTTCTCTTGCTCCTTTGTTTAGACTTTTAAAACTTTACTAAGAATCTTTTAAACATCCGGTGGAGCAAAACGCAAAGACGTGCCTTTTTTCAGCTGGTCTTTAGATTTTGATCAGGAGTAAAAAAAATCACTTCTTCGACCAGTATGCTTGGCTAATGTGTATACGATCATAATACCAAGCAATCACCAGGCAGCATTAGCTTACCCTCATAACTCTTAGCATTGATTATATGCAAAAGGTCATCCACTGTTGCCTTGTGTTTGTTTCAAATAAGGACTATGGTGACCATTACTTTGACGATTCTGCCCCAGTAAACCACCCATAGGAGAGTAAAGGTTAACAGAAACACCAGAGTGGGTACCATTGGAAAAGGGCCAGAAACTGAAACCTCCACAGAAAAAGCAAATGTTTAAATCATTTGTCATCATCTCAGAAACATAACCAACGTGAGGAAAATGATCCAATGAAGTCTAGACATTAGAATGTAAAGTGGACTTATTGTCTGAACCAGCGCCAGCGGCCCCAGACTCCTCACCTGCTCTGGAAGTAGTTTGCTAGCTCGGATGCCTCATGGTTCAGACTCCTCAGGTGTACAATTAAATTGCCAGAGTTGGTGAACATGGCGCCGCATGTTTTGCACTCATAAATCCGCGGCTTGCGGATTATGTGTCGGGAGACCCTCATGTGGTGCTTATATTCACCGAAGGACGTGAAAGTGGCGCTACAAATCTGGCACCGGAAACAGCGTTTACCTTCGTGCTTCAGCCGATGCATCTTTAGGGAGTAGGCCCGTGTGAACTTTTTCCCACAGCGGTCACACTGGAAAGGTTTAATGCCTAGGAGAACAAGGTAAAGGTGACTGAATCAGGAAAAACTCCACAGTCCTAATAAAGCTATTAAGCCTTAAAGAGTTTCAGATTGTTTTCTTATAATCAGACAAAGCAAAAGGAGTTCGCATTTGACCTTAATATCAATCCTTCAACAGACTCAATGTCCAACATTAAAATGGTAATTGTCCCATAACTACCAGCAGTGGACAAAGTAGACAGTAAACAGCAGAACTTGAGCAAAAGTATTGATACTCAGAGTCAATTCTTACTCAACTGAAAGTAACAGTTACTCAGTCAAACATCTGCTCAAGGTAAAAGTATTGAAGTACTCACTTTTGAGAATACTTAAGTATTTAAAAAAAAATATTCAATTTTCTAATATCACCTCCACCTGTAAAGAACTTCAGCATAAAAAATAAGGACATGTATTTTGATTATTTCTTATTTGAAAATAAACCAAAAAAAAAAGAAAACAGAAGAGTCTTGATTCTCACATTTACTATAGAACCGAGGTTTATGGTTGAATCTATTACCACAAAGAAACTACAGCTCTGATTTAAGGCTCATCATACTGAACAACTTTGCTACATGGCAACAACTAACGCCTTAATGAAATGTATAAACTACTAATATCTGCAATGATTTCCTCACATTTGTGCTAAAGCAGATTACAAAGCTAAGCTGAGTCAAAAGGAACAAGGAACTAACAGCTTTCTGGAAATGTAGCGGACAAGAAAGTTATAAGTACCGCGCCAAAAAAGACTCAAGTAAAGATACTCAAAAAAATTACTGAGGTACAGTAATCAAGTACGGTGAATGTACTTTGTTACTTTCACCGATTAAATATTTGTAATAACTCATTAAAAGGTTTTAAACCCTAAATGGCAAATTTAAGGAAGTTTAAGGGAGTTTTTCAGCCTTTGATTTTGATTTATCTCCAGACATTGACTGGGCCACTTAATGCCCTGTTGAAATGCCAAGTGAGTAAAAGTCTGATGCATTTTCACGCATCACTTAAAGGTGCAGAAGGAGATCTTGGAAAAATGGTTCCAGCAAGCTCTATTTTTGAATATACACAACCAAGCCTCTCCCTTCGAACCCTTCGAAACCACGCCTTCAAAACCACGTGCATGCTGTCTGCTGCGCGTCTAGAGCAGCTGAAGCGGCACATTGCACGGAGCAATGGTGTCTGCAGTTTGGATTACGCACATAAAAAAGGCCTTCCTGCCGCTGTGAAGAACCGCGAGGAGGCGACCGGGTCATAGGCTGCTGTTGAATGGGATTCCTAGTGACACGCACCGGAGGTGTACAGGGGTCTGAGCGGCTCAGACAGAAATTATATTTGCAAGATGGTAATCTGGATTAACTGTTTTCAGGTGGACTTTCTCAATTAAAAATAGATTCAAGCTACTTTTTAAGCACTGATCACATCATAGCCGCCATTGTTACAGGCAAAGAAAGGATAGGGTAGCTCAATGCGCGTGAGACCCACTTTTTCCACCGCGCAGCTAGAGCAGCAAAGATGCTTCAGCCGGATGTCAGAACTAAACTTGTACAAGCATCAAAAATGAAGCAGCACACGTGTTTTTGCTGCTCTTGGTGTGAATAGTAGGGGTGTAAATCACATCCATCATGGCGATTCGATTCAGTATCGATTTCCTGACCAACGATTCGATTATTTTCGATACTCTTTTTTTTTTTTTGTCATTTAAGTTTTTATTGTTATTTTTTCAGGAACAATACAACAAAAATATAAAAGTGGCACATTGTAATTAGATTACAGTAAGTTCAGCAGAGTTAGATCCTTTTACAAATTCAAAAAAATATGTCCAAATCCGGCTTGTTTTATCCTGAGTGTCGTGAATTTTTGATAACAGTCTCTCATATGAAGCAGTTTCTGTCATCATTTTAATCCAGTCTGATGTTTGTGGCTTGTGGGGGCTTTTCCATATTCGTAAAATTAGACGTGCAGCAACAAGAAAACCAGTCACAGCAAACTTGTAAGTGTCCATAGTGAACCCAGGAGGTATAAAACATTTACTGCCAAGCAAACACATTTGTGGTGATGCTGGGATAGGTAAACCAATACATCTTTCCAGATATTTTACAACCTCTGTCCAAAATGGAGCCACCAGGGGGCACTCCCAGAATACATGAATGTATGTGCCAATATCACCATTGCATTTCCAACAGGTGTTCTTCTGTAATAAACCCATTTTAAATAATCTGGATGGTGTAAAATAAAATCTATGAATAATTTTGTAGTGAATAAATTTGCTTCTTGCATCCCTGGTGGCCCATCCTACATTAGAAACAACATTTTCCCACATATCTTGCATAATATTAATATTAAGATCTTTTTGCCAGCTCAGTCTTAAACCTTCACATATTGCACCTTGGTCACCTAAAAGCTTCTTGTAATACATTGATGCAGTTTGGAAATTTTTTGGTAAGTTTAGCCAGGCCTGTAATGGGTTTTCTCCCTGTATATTGCTCAACTCAAAAACTGAACCTACAGTACTTCTTATTTGTAAATATTTCCAGAAATCCCCTTTATCTGTAAGATTAAAGGTGTCTCTCAGCATTGCAAATGACATGAAATTGTTATCTCTGTACAAATCCTCAATCTTCTGGACCCCTCCTATTAACCATTTCTTCCAATAAACAGGAGATTTCCCAATACGCACTACTCGGTTTTTCCAAACTGAGGAGTAAGTCTGTTTATATGAGGAGATGCCCAATATTTTGTGAGCCTTATTCCATGCCCATTTAGAATGTTGTATAATTGGGTTATATTGTAGTTCACCTTCAGGCTTATGAGAAAGCAGCTGGATGACTTCAAAAGGAGTTGTTAATGCCCTTTCAACTTTAACCCATCCCTTATCCAAGTCTTGCTTTTTCCAATGCCTGGATAATTTATTCAATTCAAATGCAATATTGTATAATTCTAAATCTGGGAGTGCCATCCCTCCTGTCCCTCTCAGAGCCGAAAGTTTTTTAAGACCAATTCTCGGTTTCTTCCCATTCCATAAAAATGTTTTGATTAGCTCATTATATTTCTTATACCAGGTGTTACTAATAATCAGGGGTACCATCATTGAAATATAATTGAATTGTGGGGCAACCAGCATCTTAATGGTATTAACTTTACCCCACAAAGTAATATTTAATAGTTTCCATTTATCTATATTATTTTTTAAGTTATGGAGCAGTGGTTCTATATTGATTGAGATTATATTATTCAACTCCGGGCTTAATTTAATGCCAAGGTATTTCATACCAACAGGGGTCCATCTAAATTGGAACTGTGAGAGGTGAGTTTGGAAACAGTTCTTTGAGACTGGCATGGCCTCAGACTTCTGCCAGTTGATTAAGTACCCTGATAACCTTGAAAAATGTTCAATTGTTGACAAAACCTCTGGGACTGAAGTGGAAGGATCCCTAATAAGAAGTAGAATATCATCAGCATACAGGAACATTTTATGTTCTTCTGAGTCCTGCACCACACCTTTGATATTTTCATTATTTCTGATTGCCGCAGCTAAGGGCTCCAAAAAGAGGGTGAACAGAAGGGGACTCAATGGGTCTCCTTGTTTTGTCCCGCGTTGTAGTTTGAAAAAAGGTGAAACTAACCCATTTGTTGACACAGCGGCTCTAGGGTCTGCATAGATCACACTAACCCATTTGATTAAGCCTTCCCCAAATCCAAATGCTTTCAGAGTGTATTGGAGGAAGCTCCATTCTACCCTGTCAAAGGCCTTATGGGCATCCAACGACAGGGCCACTACTGGAGTGTCATTATTGCGATTTTGCCACATGAGGTGCAGGAGTCTTCGGACATTATCTGATGATGTCCTTCCCTTCACAAATCCCACCTGGTCCATATGAATTAGGTGTGGCAATATATTTTCCATTCTAATTGCAATGACTTTTGTCAGAATTTTACAGTCTACATTTATAAGACTCACCGGTCTAAAACTGCCGGGATCCATAGGATCCTTATCTTTTTTATGTATTAAGGAAATTAGGGCTTCATTAAAAGTGTCCGGCATTTTCCCCAAATCAAGTGATTCTTTGAAGACCTCCGTCAAAATTGGAGCCAGTTTGTCTGCAAATTTTTTATAATACTCCGATGGGAACCCATCCGCTCCTGGCGACTTCGATGGTCTCATGAGAGAAATTGCCTTTTTTACTTCCTCTACTGTTATAGGGCTGTCCAAATATGTTTGTTGATCAATTGTCAGTTTAGGCAAGTCAAATTTTGAAAAAAACCTGTCACACTCTTCAAGATCATGTTTTACCTGTGATTCATAAAGTTTGTTATAGAATTTAAAGAAAACATCATTAATATCACCAGTACTGGTCTTTGGAATTCCTGATTCATCTTTTATGGCTGGTATTGTAAAATTAGCCTCTTTCCTTTTAAGCTGTCTGGTCAAGAGTTTTCCAGCTTTCTCGCCACTCTCATAAAAGTTGGTGTTTAATCTAAATAAAGCATATTCGACTTTTTTGTTATATATGTCGTTTATCTGTAGTTTTAGATCACAAATTTGTCTTAACAGTATCTCATCATAACATTCTGATAGCCTTTTTTCCAAAGTCTTTAGCTCAGTTTCTATTGTATTTATTCTTTGCATTTGTTCTTTCTTTTTTTTTGATGCATATGCAATCAATTTCCCTCGTATATAGGCCTTTGATGCCTCCCAAACAGTACCCACCCTTTCTGTTGAACCCATATTCAACTCAAAGAAATTATCAAGCTCCTGTTCCAAGTACTTACATAGTTCAGTATCATGTAATAAAGACACATTAAGTCTCCACCTACTCTTTTTGATCAAATCTGGTTCCAAAATCAAACCCAAGTGTACGGTGGCATGATCTGTCAGTGCAATTGGTCCTATTGAACAGTCTGAAACATCTTGCACCAAGTTATTGCTGATTAGGAAGTAATCAATTCTGGAATGAGATTTATGCCTATGAGAATAAAATGTATACTCTCGTTCTTTAGGGTTAATCACCCGCCAAATATCTACCAAGTTGAGATCCTTCATCATTAACTCAATAGCCATTCTGTCCTTGGGCTCGACCCTAGAATACGTAGTTTTATCCAAGACCCCATCCACGACCTGGTTATAATCTCCCGCAATTATTGATTTGCTTGTAGATATGTCCCCAATCATTTTGTTTATGTAATGGAAAAAATCTGCATCCTCTTGATTTGGTCCATAAATGTTGCATAGGTTAACCTTCACACCATTGATTACAGCTTCTAAGCATATTACTCTGCCATCAGAGTCTTTGTGCTCTTTTGAAACAGTAAGATTTAGTTTTTTATGCACTAAAATAGCAACTCCGTGTTTTTTATTAGCGTAGGAGCTATGAAATACCTGCCCCACCCAGTCCCTTTTTAATCTACTTACTTCTGAGTCTAATAAATGTGTTTCTTGTATAAATGCTAATTGAGCTTGTTGGGATTTAATATATGTCAAACATTTCTTAAGCTTTATTGGGTTTTGCAGCCCATTCACGTTCCAGGATATTATTCTTAAACAGTTAGCCATGTCTACCTCTGTGACTTGGTGAAAGTTCTGCTGTTAAATGAAACAACTGTGCCAAAACAAAAACATCCTCTGATGTAAAACCCACATCAGGAAAAATGAACTGAAATAAACACCTGAACACAAAAAAAACCCTCCCTCCCCCTCCCTCTCACATAAGAGAAATCCCTCCCATAAACACGGCCCATGAGACACACGAATGATCGCCCAATTGGCCCCCATCCTCCCCTTTTGTCTCTTCTAAACAACACAACTGGTACCATGACAAATAAAATATCCAATATGTGTGTTACCCAAACAATATAATCATAATCCTAACGAAATAGTAAATTACTGGCAAAACTAATAACTTAAATTCTTTCTTTCAATACAGAACCGTATTTGAAGCAATCACCAACAAAATCTACATTTTAACCGGTTTTTACTCACTGTCTGTCATTTAGTCCATAAACCACATCATTCTTGGTGCTCCTCCTCTTCATTTTGAGTGTTGCTTAGAAAGGCCAAGGCTTTACGGTGATCGGTGAATCTCATCCTCTTGCCTTCCCACGTGAAGCGTAGCTCAGCCGGATACGCCAGCGTGAAGCGCACATCCAGCTCGTGTAGTCTCCTCCGTGCGTCTGTAAACTTCTTTCGCTTCTCCGCTGTCTCTCTCGTCATGTCAGGGAAGAACGACAGCCTGCAGCCTCTCCACACGATGACCTCTTTCTTTTTGTACTTCTCCCTTGCCGCGTCCAACACCCGTTCACGTTCAAGGAAACTTAAAAACCGCATCACGATGGGTCTGGGCGGTCTGTCCTCGTCAGGGACTGGTCCAGCGGTGCGGTGGACCCGTTGTAGCTGTGTGCGGTCAAGCTCAACACCGAGCGCCTCAGAGATGATCTGTCTCACACATTCGTCCAGTTTTCCGCCCTCAGACTTCTCCTTCAGGCCAATTAAGCGGAGGTTCTGTCTCCTGTCACGATTAACGGCGTCTTCAATAGCCTGGTGAAGCTCCTCGCACTTTTTAGCACTTTTTTCTGCAGACGTGCATAACTTGACATTCTCGTCTTCTAGCTGCGAGATGCGGCTTTCCGCTTCATCCAGACGTAGCATAATCTGGTCAACGTCATTTCGTAGCTCTTTGTTAGCTTCTTTTACCTCATTCACCTCTTCTTGCAGAGTTGTCAACAGCTGCCCAACTTTTCCCATTTCCTCCGTGGCTTTCTTGAGAGATTGTTGCATTTCAAGCAGCACACTTGCCTCTGTGGTTTGGCTAGCTGGTTTAGCATTAGCCCCGCTAGTTGTAGCATTAGCACCATGCTTGGCAGACGATGTTCTAGTCATCATTGCCTCAAAACGGCTGACTGTCCGGCACCGAAACACCTATTGTACCTAAAGACTGAGTATTTGTCAGAAGAGACCGGATTTAAATGCCGGATTTAGATCAAATTGAGGGCTTTGATGAGCAGCTCCAATTCAGGCGACCATCTTGTTCGGTGCTCCCACGTGACCCCCATTTTCGATACTCAAGAATACACCACGATAGGATTCGATTAATTGGTTCATTTTTTTTTTTTTTTTTTTTACACCTTACAGGCTAGACAATATTTCAAATTTGAAATAAATCAATGAAAGCTGTAATATTGTGATGCTTTTTTTTTTAGAAACAACAGCAAATAACAGAAGTAGAAAAGTTGCACTCCAACTATTCACTCCACAGACGCTCCGCTGCTCCTCTCCCAAATTGTAGCTGACCGCAGACAGTGCCGCAGACAGGAGGCCGGCTTGTTTTGTTTTTGTTTTTGCGGAAAACAAGTCGTGAAGTTTGACCCGCTAGAAGAGCGAGGTGCGCAAGAACGCTGGGACCCTTTTTCCACCTGGATCTCCGCTCTTTTTGGCCCTCATGTCCCTCCGTCGTCGGACTAAACTCACCCCCACTTCCTCGCCGCTTTGGCCGTATCTAGACCCACAGCGTGTAGCACAGACCACGGTTCAATATTGAGCATTAATCAAAACTGTCTGTGTCAAGCTCACTGCAACACACCGCTGTAAGAGTATAACCAGGAAGCGAGGTAGGAGGGCAAAATAGGTTTAGCGCCACTGCAGCACGGGAGGGAGAATTACGCCCAGGAGCAAATGGATAAGAATAGACCAGAGAAAAAAAAACATGAATCGATTCTCTGCAGACGTATCGATGCATCGGATCGTCAGCTGTTGGATCGATGCATCGATACAAAACGATTATTATTTACACCCCTATTGAATAGGGTGACCAGACGTTCCATTTTTCCCCGGACATGTCCTACTTTTCATACCTAAAAAAATGTCTGGGAGGAATTTTAAAATCATCCGGGGTTTCGGTCGACTTCAGTGCAGCAGAATCGAGCCGAGAGCTCCGGGGACTGGGGACAGAGCGACCGAACCCGACCCGGTAATGGTAGCCTGGACACCGGTGGCCCTGTGGGGGACAAAAAAAGTGTCCTCCTTTTTAGAAAGCCAAATCTGGTCACCATAGGTGGGGGGCACAAGCAGACAGCCATGATTGACGTGTCATGGAACCAATCATGTAGAACGGACCATCTTTTGTGATTGGTTGAGGTTATTCATTGATTTCTCACTATAGCAGGGCCCATTTCATTTAGTTTCACTTCCAGACTTTCTATTTCACTGCTTGCTAAGTCGCTGTGGGAGATGTGGCTGTGAGATATTTAAGCCACATGGTAAAAACTGCGCTAGAAAAGATCTCTTGCTGCACCTTTAAAAAAAGTTATTTTATACATTATGTGTCCGACATTATTTCCTCCAAACGTTCTGCAGTTCTTTTTTGTCGACTCAGGAACTTTTCAGTGGATGTGGAGTTTAGCTGGGATGAATGAAGCATGCAGACCTGTACAGACGTCAGTTGGGGGTTGTTGTTGACAAACTCTTGGATTTATTTATGTTGTTCATCTCTTCCATTAAAAGGTTAAACATAGGTTTTTATAACACTACCTTAAACCTCATGTGCTGCAGACAATAGTTATTGGATCTCACGGTCAGTTTAGCTGCATCTGCGGGTTTCAGGTAAGTAAAATAGAATAAAAGAACCTTTATATATTTCGTATATACTTCAGATACCATCGGTATTCAGGTTCACTTGTGTTTACATTAGTACCAGCTGATGTTTTACAGTAGATCTAGAAAAGCCCTCTAACAAACAGAAACAGACATGGCATTTTTGGTTTTCACCTACCGGAGTGTATGAGCATATGCTGTTTCAGGTTTTGAATTCGTGTGAATCTGACTCCACAGGTCGGACATTGAAAGGGTCGATCAGGGCCGTTGGTGCCGGGTCGAGCTGAGGGGCTTATATAGAGGTGGTATGGATACTGAATACCTTCCAGCCTAAAACAGATACCAAAGATAACTTCAGTTAAAGGGCATGCATGGCATTTTCTAAAAAGAGGCATTTAAATCTCCCTCACGTCATTACAACAAAGGTTCCATTTATTTCTGGCATTAAATGACTGTTTTGATCTTTGTGCAACGGGAAATTTTAAGAGAACAGACTGCAGGCTTTGATGCTCAATTAAGATTTTTTTTTATGGGATTTTGTTGTGTTCACATTTCTAATTATATGCGACCTGTATGTGATCTCCCGTGTGAACTGCATTCAAACCAGTTAAGTGACCCGCAAACGCAGTAGAAGCTGCAGTGACATTACAAGCAAGCAATCGCTGTGTTTATGGAAATAAATATGATGCTAGAGCTGCAGCGCATGTAGCAAACTTTCATTTCTTTCCCAACCTCAGCCAGTGCATCAACAACACAATCTTTTCAAGAAGGTGGAAAATTATGACTGTTCTCTGCATTATCGTCCACAATTATTGGTTGGATGAACGCGAAACGGGTCGCATTTGAAAAGATGAGATACGTATCAGATTCAGGACCACATAGCCAAGAGGTCTGGATCGCATTGGAAAAAAATCGGATCTGTTGTTCAGACTGTCATGAAAAGATCAGATACAGGTCCAATGAGGGCAAAAAAAAAAAAAAAAGGTTTTAAGTCGTTTTATGCTGCTGTGTGAACGTAGCTTAAGATTTGTTCGTGTTACTTCACATTAGACACTTTTCTGCTGAAAAGACTGACGGTGTCTGCTAGGAGCAAACACAAACTCACTAAGCTAATGCTACAAGCTTGCAACACGAGAGAGATGTTAATAGCAGCTTTGAAAAGATGGTAAATCGGAATAAACTTTCATGGTCAAGCTTATTTGCACAAACAAGGAAATTCTTTTGAATGTTAAGCTTTTAAGAACAATTTGTGTTTTACAAGGATTTTAATCCCAAATCTTACAGGGGAATAGATGCTAAACTGCCCTCTGGTGCCACTTTATATGAACTACAGCCGAGTTAAATTTATAGCTAACACTGAAAAGCCCTTTTCATATGCACTGTCCAGTTAGATATTAAAGTAAATCCTATAACGTAGCCTCACATTAATCTCCTCCATTAATCTCAGCAGTAAACAATAACATTTAAAAAGCTGAACAATAACTGTTAGATATAATCTAAATAGATATAATCTAACTAATAATAACTTTCCATATTTTAAATCACTGATGTACGGAAGAGGATTAGGGCCACTGAAAAAAAAAGGTCACTGATTTTGTTATTTTATTTCAGTTTAACATGGGAAAAAAGTCAGAATTCGGACTTTTTTTCTCAGAATTCTGACCTTTTTCCCACACTAAACTGAAATAAAATTAAAAAATCAGTTAACTTTCTTTTTTTTCCCCACTGGCCCTAATCCTCTTCCATACTGATGAAACCAAGTTGCCTTTTCCAAACCATTTCCAGAAGGAGACAGCTTTATTCTCCAGGGATGAGGAGCTTTGATGATCCAAACAAATAATGACAGGAACTCGGACAACACAAAGAAAACATGAAGTACTTCAACAATCTATATTTGACAAAAATCAGATTTCAGCTTCACTAAGCTACATTTTTGGCTAAAATCATTCAGACTTCTCCACAAACTCCACGGCTTGCTAACCTAAGAAGTTCTCAGGCCCCGTCCACACGAAGTCAAAACGAACACGAAACGCTAATATTTTCCAGAACGTTTGTCGCAAAGACGGAGACGTAAAATAAATGTGAGCGTCCACACGAATGCATGAAAACGCTGCAAAATGTATGCCAGGCCTGTAAGTGGCGCTGTGGTGCCAAAGCAAAAATAAGCGACGAAATGTTGGGCATGCGCACTAATATTTATACACGGCCCATTTTCGTGGTTCAGTCAAATTCAGGTGCTGAACTATGTCGTCCATATTGCTCTGTTCTTCCTGGAGATATTCCAGAAGAAGAAGATTCTGTTGTAAGCCCGACAGCAGGGTGAGTAGCATGAGCAGCAACCATTCAACACAGTACGGCGCCATTGTTGTTGTGATACTGTGTCGCGCATGCGTGTTTAGAGGCGATGCTATGACGCATGCGTGTAAAAAAAAAAATGCAGTTAGAGCTTAAAGATGGAAACGCGAAAACGGCGTTTCAAAATCTTCCCACTCTGAAGGCTGAATAAAAAAAAGATCGTTTACAGACCCCGAAACGCCGGCTTCGTATGGATGAGAGGCTGGTTTGGTGAAAAATTTATGCGTTTAGGCCAGGGTTTGACTTCGTGTGGACCTCAGACAATCGTTCCATATCCCACTTTCCCACTGGCTGAAAAACCCACTTAAACCCGGGAACAATGGGCTTTTAGTGGCAGTGGGAACGGCTCACTGATGCACGTCTACCTGGGTTAAACAACTCAGCCAGTGACCCACGTTAAAATATCCTCTGCTCTGATCGGCATGCTGTAGGATCACCAGAACCGGGCTGACTGGCTAAATTACGTGACACCATTGAACCCAACGTACGGACGTCAACACAGGGCGCCAGACGCTTCTTATCAAACAAGCAGAATCAAATCTGTTTCCATAAAAATGGAGCAGCTCTGGTGAGAGGGATTCAGACAGCTGACAGAGAGAAACAATAAAGCTATACCCTGGATTCTTCACGGCGCTCTCCATTGTTCACGTTCCTGATTTCTGTCAAATAGATTGTATTTATTTTAGCCCTACTTTCCTTTTCCTAAGTGGTTACTCCAGTTGTCAGGCCTCCACTGTAAATAAGAACTTGTTCTTAATGACTTCCAGGTAAAAATAAAGGTATACAAGACTGGTGACATCATCAACGCTAACCCAGTGTGATGCTATCACCAGACACCCAGGTGCAAGGGAGGGCATTTGTTAGCGGGTCGATCCTTGTTAGAAAAACACTCGTTAAAGAGTTACGCTCAGTGGGAAAGAGGCTATAAACTCAGCAGGCCGCTGCTCCCCAAGTGGACAAACAAGCTCTACCGTAGATCCTTTATAAGCATCAATGCTCCAAAAAAGATCATTAAGTTCTTTTCATCAATGCTGTTAATTCTAATTTTCCCCCATAGTCTCTTGCGTTCTTTTTTCAGGCTAAATTTCGTCCATTTTTCAAACCATCCGATCAGTATCCCATTCCATTGATCTGAATATATGTACAGGTGCTGGTCATAAAATTAGAATATCATGAAAAAGTAGATTGATTTCAGTAATTCCATTTAAAAAGTGAAACTTGTATATTATATTCATACATTACATACAAACTCATATATTTCAGATGTTTATTTTGTTTAATTTTGATGATTACAAATGACAACAAATGAAAATCTCAAATTCATCATATCAGAAAATTAGAATATTGTGAAAAGGTTCAAAATTGATGGCCCCTGGTGCCACACTCTAATCAGCTAATTAACTCAAACCACCTGCAAAAGCCTTTAAATGGTCTTTCAGTCTAGTTCTATAGGCTACACAATCATGGGGAAGACTGCTGACTTGACAGTTGTCCAAAAGATGACCATCGACACCTTGCACAAGGAGGGCAAGACACAAAAGGTCATCGCTAAAGAGGCTGGCTGTTCACAGAGCTCAGTGTCCAAGCACATTAATAGAGAGGCGAAGGGAAGGAAAAGATGTGGTCGAAAAAAGTGTACAAGCAAGAGAGATAACCGCACCCTGGAGAGGATTGTGAAACAAAACCCATTCAAAAATGTGGGGGAGATTCACAAAGAGTGGACTGCAGCTGGAGTGAGTGCTTCAAGAACCACCACACACAGACGTATGAAAGACATGGGTTTCTGCTGTCGCATTCCTTGTGTCAAGCCACTCTTGAACCACAGACAGCGTCAGAAGCGTCTAAAGAGAAACAGGACTGGACTGCTGGTGAGTGGTCCAAAGTCATGTTCTCTGATGAAAGTAAATTTTGCATTTCCTTTGGAAATCAAGGTCCCAGAGTCTGGAGGAAAAGAAGAGAGGCACTTCATCCACGTTGCTTGAAGTCCAGTGTAAAGTTTCCACAGTCAGTGATGGTTTGGGGTGCCATGTCATCTGCTGGTGTTGGTCCATTGTGTTTTCTGAGGTCCAGGGTCAACGCAGCCACATACCAGGAAGTTTTAGAGCACTTCATGCTTCCTGCAGCTGACCAACTTTTTGGAGATGCAGATTTCATTTTCCAACAGGACTTGGCACCTGCACACAGTGCCAAAGCTACCAGTACCTGGTTGAAGGACCATGGTATCCCTGTTCTTAATTGGCCAGCAAACTCTCCTGACCTTAACCCCATAGAAAATCTATGGGGTATTGTGAAGAAGAAGATGCAATACACCAGACCCAACAATTCAGAAGAGCTAAAAGCCACTATTAGAGCAACCTGGGCTATCATAACACCTGAGCAGTGCCACAGACTGATCGACTCCATGCCACGCCGCATTGCTGCAGTAATACAGGCCAAAGGAGGCCCAACTAAATACTGAGTGCTGTACATGCTCATACTTTTCATGTTCATACTTTTCAGTTGGCCAACATTTCTATAAATCCTTTGTTTTTATTGGTCTTCAGTAATATTCTAATTTTCTGATATGATGAATTTGAGATTTTCATTTGTTGTCATTTGTAATCATCAAAATTAAACAAAATAAACATCTGAAATATATGAGTTTGTATGTAATGTATGAATATAATATACAAGTTTCACTTTTTAAATGGAATTACTGAAATCAATCTACTTTTTCATGATATTCTAATTTTATGACCAGCACCTGTAATGTTTGTGAGTTGCTCTGTTCTCTATTAAATTCTGTTTGCCTGTCAGCCTGTATGGAACTTTTTAACGAGAAGGTTTCTTCTTCTAATTCTTTCCAAATGATGTCAAGTCTGCCCTGTTTAAAGCCATTTCCATCTAAGTGGTAGGAGACAACGATAACATGCGTCAGTTGTTTAATGTCTGACGTGAGCAGGTTCTAGATCTAGATTTATTATCTAAACAGGCGGGGTTCAGACATGCTGTAATCGGGTTCTTGTCTATATGTTCTTAATGGCAAGTTCTGACAAAGGCCTCAACAAAGTCATGATACCTCTCATCATCCTCTGTGTGTCCTGCAGCATTAGAGGTGCTCTGCATAGAAGGCAAGCTTTCAGACACTCCTTCATCCATTGAGCCTGGGAAGCAAAAAGTAAAATGAATCATGGAGGCAAAGTTAAACGAACAACTCTTAAAGCAGCTAATCTTAAATAGATTAGGTTTAGATTCATCCAAAGCTGAAACAATTGGATTAACCGTGATTTCAGTGTAGGGCTGCAACTAACGATTATATTGCAAATCGATTAATCTGTAAATTATTATTTCGAATAATAATCGGATAGCCAAAGTTTCCTTAAAGAAGACGTTTTGCACAATTATACCAAGTGAAACTAAAACTGATTGATAGACAAAAGAGATTTTTATCTTGAATTCAAAATATTTGTGTTTTATTTTTGCAATTTTGGTATAATTCCTGCTCTAAGTGGGTCTCTCTGTCAGCTAAATGCATATTTTAGAGTCTCTATACTCCAGTTAACGATTAATCGATTACTAAATTAGTTGACAATTATTTCAATTATTGATTAATCCAATTCACAGTTTCAGTTCTAGTCTAATATTAAGATAATATTTGACATTTCCCACCTATAGAAGAGGACTGAGGACTGATTAGCAGCTCTTCCTGGACCTGGTCGCTCCCTGGCACCGTCTGCTGGTCACTCATGGAGCTCTGAGAGGCGCTGACCGGCTGTGATGATGCCTCCTGAACCTCCTCATCACTGAGGCGCTCCACCTTTACCCTCACATCTTCCTCCTCCGTTGCCGCCGGCGAGGACACCACCTTGGAGCTCTCGCATGTCAGGAAGTCGCTGAGCCGACGGGCGACCACGCCCTCCGAGGTCCCCGGGGCGCCCTGCTCTAAACAGCGGGGGCTCTCTGGCAGCTTTGATTTGTCCGAGTGGAACCTTCGGTCGATGCCAAAAGGGAAAGTCCAGGGAAAGGCCAGGGAGGACTCCACCGGCGGGGCGGGCCCGTCCGAGAACGAAGGGGAGGGGTTGGGAATCTGAGGGGAGGTGGTGACCATCTGTGTAGTGCATTTGAGCGGACTCTCCGGCGACGCCATCGTTACAAAGCTTTTCCTTTTCCGTCGGGATTCCCGGCAGATGGGAACGTTCCTCTCCATCACGCTGCAGTCGGACGACACAGGGGACACGCTGCCGTCCAGCGGCGTCAGGACACAGTTCGACGAGGCGCTCTCGGCCGCCGCCTCATGTGGTTTATCCGCTGCGATGCTGGGGCCGTTGTTGTTAGTCGGGCTCCACAGAATACTGGACTTCATGAACTCCGAACACGTGCTAGCCACAGCAAACATCTGCATGTAGCTAGCAGCAGCCAGGACGTCAATGATGTTCTCTGTGCTGATGGAAAGGGTGGAGGTGTAGGCGTATTCCAAAAGTGGAGCGAACCCGCTGACGGTCACATGATGAAGGTCCAACACAAACTTTTCCTCTTCTTCTGGTCGGCCAACGAGCTTGGAGCGGAAAAATTCGCTGCAGCAGGCCAAGACCACTTTATGAGCCAGGAAGAGCTTGTCTTGGACCCGGATGGTGACGTCACACAGGTGTCCCTCATTGCGCAGGGCGTTTAGTTTGTCGAGCATCTCCTGGCTGTGGGAGGTGGAGCTGTGGGTGAAGGTTTTCACCCCCATTTTGGAGTCCAGGCTGCTCTTTACAGGAAATCTGTCCTGCAACAAAATAGCAAAAACAAATCAAAGTAGATCACAAAAGTTTAATGTCTCGTTAACACTGAAAGCCTTTCTTGGCGTCAAAAAACGCCTAAAGGCAGAAATCTGGACACTGGATCAAACGCTGGTCAAGATGCTTCAACGCTCTGGCTGTTCGGTGCTTTGCTTTATTTACTTTATGAGTTGGAAAAATAGTTTTAACACCCTTTTAAGTGAGAAAGTCCACCTCCAAACATCCTCTGTTCATCGGGATTATGATCTCACTAAAATATGCAGATAGCGCCGCAACTAACGATTACTTTTCTAATAGATTAATCTGTTGATTAATGATGATTAATAATCGAATAGCCAAAGATTTTTTAATAAAATCTTTTTACGAAATTGAACCAGGTGAAACTAACACTTTCTTACTTGAGGAGTTCTGGATAGAGCATACTGACAGATTATAACTTTTTTACAATCTTGGTATAATTCCTGCTCTAAGCGGGTCGTTCTGTCAGCTAAAGAGACCTTTTATAGTCTCTATATTCCAGTTAACGATTAAACAATTCTTAAATTGGTTGACCATTATTTAAATAATTGATTAATCCAATTAATTGTTTCAGCCCTAGATGCAGTTCTTTTTTGGAACGCCAGACCTAATCAACAGATAACTAATAAAATGATCGTTAGTTGCAACATACTTCGATGCTCTCCACCCAGGTAACAACACCTGACCGCTGAGGGGAACGGAAATGATTGCACTTTAAAGGACCATTCCAGGAAACACCTGAAGTACACACTGCAGACCATGGAGATGAGGGAGGAGTTACAGAGAACCCCACACACACACCCAATTGGCTTTTGCCTTTAGGGTGGCGCTACAGAGCACTGATGAGGGAAAAAAAAAAAAGATTATTTAGCCATGCCATAATTTTCTTCAACTGAATAAAAACAAAACTGAAGTAATAATCTTTGGACCGATAGAGGAGAGATCTAAAGTTAGCACACAGCTTCAGTCGCTTCAGCTAGTAACCACTGATCAGGCCCGAAATCTAGGTGCAGTGCTGGATTCAGACTTCAACCTCCAAAAGCATTTAAAGACAATAACAAGGTGGGCTTTCTATCACCTGAAGAACATTTCCAGGATTAAAGGACTAATGTCTCAGCATGATCTGGAAAAACTAATCCATGCGTTTATTTTTAGACGAATTGATTACTGCAACGGTGTTTTCACAGGTCTGCCTAAAAAGTGGATCAGACAGCTGCAGCTGATCCAGAACGCTGCTGCCCGTGTCCTCACTAAGACTAAGAAAGTAGAGCACATCACCCCAGTTCTAAAGTCCTTCCACTGGCTCCCTGTATCTCAGAGAATAGACTTTAAAATGCTTCTGTTAGTCTATAAATCTCTGAATGGCTTAGCACCTAAATGCATCACAGACTTGCTATCAGTGTATCAACCCTCCAGACCACTCAGGTCTTCTGGCTCCAGCCTGCTCTGCAGACCTAGAACCAGAACTAAACATGGAGAAGCAGCATTTAGTTCCTATGCTCCACTTATCTGGAACAAACTTCCAGAAAGCTGGAAAAGTGCGGAAAGCCTGAGTTCCTTTAAATCAAGACTAAAAACACATTTGTTTAGGATTGCCTTCAACTGTTCTAGTTAAACAGTTCAACTAAAACATCATTGGTTCAACTTTTTATTTTCTTTAGTCCAACTGTTTTTAATATTCTTTTTTGTTTCTGCATTTTTTTTCCTACTTGCTTTGATTCTGTTTTATTTTCCTATATTTCAATCATGTAAAGCACTTTGCATTGTCTTTGTACTGAATTGTGCTATACAAATAAATTTACCTTGCCTTGCCTTTATGCCCAAACTTGTCCATTAAAATATCTTCTGACTGTACAGAACATTTTAACAGAGAAATCAACCAAAATAAAACTTTAAAACTGCCAGTGAAGTATTTGCATTTCTTTGTGATTCTTTTGTTCAGAGTGTCATGTAATATTTATCTTTTTCACCGCTAAATAAAGGACATGTACTTATATAATTAGGCATATTCAAAAAGAAGAGTTCTCAGAAGATAAAGGAAAACTATTAAAAAGCGCTCAACTGAAGGTTAAAAGTTGTTCTCTATGGGGTACGCAGTGTTAGGGGAGGGTGAAGAAGAGGGCTGGGATGCTTGGGAGAACAAAACGCCAGGTTATGTAACAACAATCAAAGCAGATGCACAGCGATGTGAGCCAGACCCATGTGGAGGCCAGCGTGCTGCAGGACGCTCAGCAGCTGTCTGCGAGACATGTGCACTCTCTCTCTGAGGCATGAGATTTTCCATCAGGCAAAAGCTTAAGTGAGGGGGGCTCTCGCAGGGGGAGAGCGTTACCCACCACACACAGAGAGCAGAGGAAAAGTACGTCGTCTTGGTCCTGTAGAGGCCAAGTAAATTATAGAACCGGGCTGCAGCATCACAGAAAGGGGATCGTTTATAAACCAACAAAAACAGCTAACAGAAAACAGCTTTGCTTAAGAAGAGGCTCTTTCACAAGCTGTGGTGATTAATATCTGAAAACTATGAATTATCTAACTTTTCCAGGAAAGCTATTTTGTATTTTTATTTTCTTTCTAAGCAGGTATTGCCATGTTTTTTAGTATTTATGTGGCCGTCTTTCAAGCTATGCATATCGAATTCTATTCAAAGAAAGTGGATCTTTCAATGTCCCTCACTGCCCTGGTCATGCCTAAGCAACAATTTGGTCTCATGTAATTTATTTTGGCATAAACATGACCAATCAAACCAATAATGGGTTTGTAGCAGAGGATGGCCAGTGTGGCTTTGGTCTCTGGGTTAATCAGCAGTAGAATAGTGTATGATCAGTTCAGGCAAGGATCTAGGGCTGCTACCACGGAGTATCGGGGCCAGGCTAGAGATTTTATGTTCTCCATTTCAAGAATAAAGTCATAAAATTACGAGAAACAAGTTGTATTTTTATGACAACTCCTACAAGAAGCACTTTCTTCCCTAAAACAAGGAATTCAGAGCATCCTGTGAAGTTATACTTTGGCATTGGTTTGACAGGTAAGGAAATCTTTTATAACCAGCATCAAACTGGGCAGGATGTCACAGTGGACTCAGCTTGCTGATTGGCGGAGCTGGTCGACTGTCATCTGCTGGTCGGAGCTCCAAGCTTTCTTTCTGAAAGGTTGTGGTATGATGACTTCATTCTGGTAATATTACACCTTTATTCTCAAAATAAAAAAATAAAAAAATCTCTATTCAAATATGCATGCATGTAATCTGAAGTATTACTACTAAAATATGCCTTAAAACAGAGGATATAGTAAGAACTGCTTTAGCTAAATCATATCAGCTTATCTGACCATATCTGTTCATACAGAAAAATATGTGAAATACAATCAAAATAAAGTAAAGACAATCAACATAAAGGGACGGATGCAAAAAACCCGATGTATTCCAGCATCCAGCTGCCATGCACGTGGGCATTGTCAGTTTCACTATAGCTCTGGTGAATTTCAATGGTGAAGTCCTCTGGAAATTCTCAACAGCAGCAGCCAGAGCTAACGTTAGCCCGTCTTCAGCAACCAGGGCTAACGTTAGCCCGTCTGCAGCAGTCAGAGCTAAGGTTAGCCAATCGGCTCTGATGGCGATATTTTTGTTTTATTTGAGTTCATTTGATTTGTTTTGATCTGACTGTGTTCATTATTATCCCCTCACTAAATGAAAAAAGTAAGAATTTTTTTTATTATCATGAGAGACTATTAATAACAGGAGGTGAAATGCAGCTCCAGACGAGCCAGAATGTGGTGACGTCATCAGTACGCTTCTGTTCCGATTGACCCAGATTTATAGCCTGATAAACCAGACTAAATCTGAGATTAAATGTGTAATTTAATTCCGATGAATGAGACATCAGAAGATTGTTGATGAGAACAACCCGTTGTCTTTCAAACCATGTCTGTGTCTATTGGCCAACGCTCTGACCAATGAGCGCAACCGACGAGAAGGACCTCGCTGCAGCAAACAGAAAGGGGCGGGGACGGACCTTTCCGTCAGTCCCATACCTTATTTGGAAATGGGACTATTGCATTCCGGAAATGAAGGGGGCGCTATTTTCATAATCACTAGTATAAATGCCTTAAAGACGCGGGGTTAAGAGGAAAGGAAGAAGAAAGAAAGAAGTTTAAAAAGTTTTTGCACTGGTTTTCGGCACACTAACCATAATGCAAAACCCACAAAATCAACAAAAGGTAATTTTACCTTCTTAAAAAATTTTTTCACATAGTAAATTAATACGCTTTTCTAGATTCAGTTTTTTAAGAGAACCTTCAATTTGTCCTTTTTAAAAGGTCCAGAGAAGAACTACAAAAGGAGAGAAAGCGGAAAAAAGTTAATGAGAGGGCAAAATGTGAGGTAAGCTGCAGCTAAAATTCATCACTTTGTTGTTTTAAGTCATAGAATTTGTATTATGTCCATTCACAGTGTACTTTTGTTCTATGCTTATTTTTTTAAGTCTGAAAGAAAATCAGGATAGAAGAATTAAAAGGGTTGAAGCAGTTTTGATGTTATTTGGACTTGCATTCATCTTTCACTTAGAACATATCTGTATTTTTACAGGCTGTGTGCTGATGACCACACCTATGCCAAAGGAGCCGAGGCACAAATTGAGGTTCATTTTTAAATTTACACATAACTAGTAATTTTGATTTGTGTATTTTTATGTGCAAATGAGACTAAAACCCTAAATGATTTTTTTTTTTTTTTATTAAAATTCATTATTTGGACAACTTTTTTTTATATCATTAGAGATGAAAGGATAAGATACTGAGAGATATAAAGTATTAATTATTGTTTAATGCTCTTCACCATGCAGGTAGAAAGGATACCGCCAATCTTACAGGTAAGATTCATTCATAATCATATGTATCATCCATTCTTCCTGTATTACAGTCTTGCAATGCACCTGTTTTTTATTTTGTTTGTTTTTTTATTTTTTTATTGTCAGATGCGGAGGAGAGGAGATTACCCTCGTTACTACTGTGATGGCATACCTGGACTTTGCCCTGAGTGCCAACATTGAATTCAAAGAAAATAAAAGTTGCTTTCCACAATCTGTCACATATTGTTAGTTTTTTTGTGACATGCCATTTGAAATCGTTTCTGATAAAGAATATTTACCTTTTGACTTGTGCAGTCCTCCTTTTTCATAATGTGTTCTTTCAATATTATTTACATTTTTGAAAGTTCCTTTTGTTGTAGCTCAGTTGATTTACATCATTTAGTTTTCATAGAAATGGTGTCGTTTCCACAAAGTTACATTGTGGCTGTAATTTGTTGGAGAGACAGTAGGACCAATAAAGTAGTTGTAAATATATTGTAACAGCGTTGTTTAACAATTGGAAAATTTTAAATGCAAGCAAAGCTAATAACTTGCAATATACAATGTTTCCTATACATTTTTGAACAATGACTGGAATAAATACAAATTTTCTTTACAAACCTGACATACAGACAAGTTGTTTATGTTTTAACAGTTAGAATCAACTTGTTTTATGTAATAAAAAATAAGTTGCAGAAACATATTGTTCAGATACAAACATAAGATTAAACGAGCAAAGCGAAGGTGTAATCAGGGTGGAGGTGATGGAAGCTCAGGTGAGGAGCAGTTGCACACATCAAGCTGGACTTTATGAAGGGTGAAGGACTTGAGACCGGCGCCGTTAGGCTGGGAGGGAGGCACCTGAGCAGGTGATTGGCTGAGCAGGTGAGATGAAGACAGACTTTATTCAAAAAGGTTTTCATGTAGAAAAAAGATAATTCTCTGGTGGTTACCAGTACAGTGTCTACTGCCGGGATCAGAAAGTTGAAGATTATTGTCAAATGAACTTTCTAAAACCTACTTTCTGTGCGAGTCTTTCCAGGTTGAAGCTACATTTAAGGTTTTAATTAATCACTTTGGGTTTTCCTACAATTGGATATTCATGTTTTTGGAGTGCAGTTTATGAATTTATTGCAATTGATAAAATTAATATGGTATTTCTAAATGGAATAGTGGGACACCAGTCAGTTTACTAGTTGAGCTGGAGTCCTTATAGGAGACATTATGGTCAATAATGATAATAATTGAGCCAGGTCACCTGCAACCAAGTATATTCTAGTTACCGAATGGCACTTGTTAAAAGTTCAAAAGTCCTTTGGTTTGTTTGTAAATTATATTCACAATGAGAATAATAAGAAAAAATATTTGGCAAATAAACAACAAAAGTGCACCATGAATGGACGTACTAAGTTGGCCAAAATTGTTGACTAAATGTTTTACAGACCAAACCTCTTTTCCATCTAGTTCTTATTAAATAAGCCAAAGGCTATTATATTTTAGATTATAACTTATTTATTTTAAGAGTACTGTTCACAACATCAAAATATATTATTTGAACTTCAGCACCGGCATGTATTTGTTTATATCTGTTTTCTTAATCAGCGATGGACTGGGGATCTGTCCAGGGTCAGCAGCCTTCATGACCCCACTTGAGGATAATTCATAAAAATTAATGGATGGATAAATGTGCTCTTAATGTAATGTACATTTGTCTCCAAAATATTGATTTTATTTTATTTTTTATGACTTTTGTTAGACATATATAGGGTGTAAGGATAGATAAATACATCTCCATAATGATTCCTTATTGTTGCTTATTTTAGATTTTTTGTTACTAATATAATTTTAAATAAAGATTTCAAAATAAAAAAGGGACATACCACGTGACAGACATGCCCCGTGACATATCACGTTTTGTAGCCATTTCTTTACTGTTTAATTAGTATTTTTAATGTTGAAAGTGTTCTTGGGTGTTTTGAAAGGCGTTGTCAAAAAAAATACGTTATTATTATTATTATAATTATTATGAAACGGTCGGTACAGGAAATAGTGTCACTAGCGCCCCCGTCAGTTCCGGAATGAAATGGTCCCATTTCCATATAAGGTATGAGACTGATAGTGGTCCGTCCCCGCCCCTTTCTGTTTGCTGCAGCGAAGTGTACTTCCAACCGACTGTGACGTAAAGCGGGACAGAAAGCTGTTGGGGGAGTGTAAACAAACAGCATGTGATGTGAGCAGTGGATAACTTGTTTAGATCATGGAGTTGGACTATTGTTGTTGTTTGTGCAAAAATTACATGGGAGTAGCCGGGGTGCTACACCACTGTACAACACTTTTCCGAAGTTCAAATCAACCGTTGTCAGTGGCAGAAAGATTACAGAAAGTTGGAGTAAACGTTTTGATTACACTGGGGAAATCCAAACGACTCTGTTGAGCTTGTAAAACGGTGTTTAATAGTCTGGAACGAAATCTGACAATTTATTGGAGGTGGATTGAATACGAGGTGGAAGCAGGTGCCCCCGCAGAACGGACAGCTGCTGAAAAGAGAGCTCGGGAGTCTATTTCCTCGAAAACACAGAGAGACTTAAGGAGCCAAGGATATTTGTCGCTCTTCCGCGGAACATAGCCGAGGTTAGTTGACATTATCAGTATATAACTGCAACTTGTGACAGTAAATCTATCTGCATAACTTTTTTAACACAGTCGTGCACCCTAGTGCCAATAGTTGTTGCCATCTCCCTTGTTGTGCTTTCTCCAGCATCCCCGCCTGCTTTGCATCCAGAAAATTCAAAACACATCTCTGCGTTGTGATTGGCCCGCCAGATCTAGGTGGGGCATTGATCGTGGCTAGACCACTCGCAGGCAAAAATGATTTTGGCCGCTGGCGGGTGGAGCTGATTTACTAGGCTACCAGATTTATTCTGCATGCTCCCGTTCTCCCAGAGTCCAGACTTTCCTGTGTTCTTCTCAAGAACAGACTTGGCGAGGACACGAGTCTATACCTGCATTTTTGTGATTTGAGAAGCGGCCCTGACCATTCTAAGTCTGCTGTTCTTGTGAATTGGAACAGTACTATGGCTGAGGGTGATGAAGTTTCACGAGTACACCACAACGCACAAGTACACAGATTTAAAAAAAAAAAACTGCCAATATTTGGGCAAAAATGGCTGCCCCTAGACTCAGTGATAAATGATTTTTTTTTTTTTTTTTTGTTACTGATTAATGCTAAATTCATTAAATCATCGCGAGGATATTAGTTTTAGGTATAAATAATGATCCTTTAATTATTCCTTGCTGACCAGACTTCCCCTTTAAACGTTTTTCAGGATAATTTCAGTCTTATAAATATTTTCACCTAAACGGTTTCAGTGATGAGAGAATATTTTATAAAATAATTTTATTAAAACATTTTTTTTTTATTCCAGAAAACAGATAAGCGGGTCCGCCAGGTTGTTGTATTTCCAGGTAGCATCAACTCAAACCGGACAGAGGCAGGCTGAGGAAGGCTGGCAGCAGCTGCAGGTGTGCAGGGAGGAGGACCAAGGTGCTGAACACATGCAGCCTACCGGCTCCGGCTAACGGTGTCAGGGCGGCGAGAGTAGAACAGCTTTTCTCAATTCACAAACCAAACAAGAGAACGACGACTATCTTTAGCTTTTAGTTCTGCCTTCTTCTGTTGCCCCAAAAAAATCCTAATTTACGAAAAAAAATGCAACGAATCAAAGCCCAAAACCAAGTGTCTCCATCTTCAGTTAAAATCATTACATGTCATTAACCTTATTTCGAGACCAACTATTTCCGCTTTCCTCGTCTCCAACCGTTTGTTTTGATGCTACAGCTAACAACCGTTAGCTATGCTAACGCTAACCTGAGCAAATAGCTGTTAGTTAGCTTAGCTCGGCTTTCAAAGCAGACGCAGGTAATGCCCCATAGAGCGGGTCTCTATTTCATGTGACAAGGCTGTAAAATGTGAGTTTACCTTCGGGCGGGAGGCCTGGGAAGAGAGCCGTGGCCTCTGGATGCTGATGGATAAGCTGACAAAAAGCAGTCGGAGACAGCCGCGCGCCCTGCCGCTGCTGCCGCTCACATTCCCCGCTCTTGTCAGGCAGTTGTCCGCCTGCCAGCCGCTCCAGCTCACAGTTTATTAACCGCTCAGGCAGATTTACATCACAACAAAAGGCTCCTAAAAGTCACAGGAGGTGCTGCCTTCATTCCTTTGTGGTCTGTGTTGTCCCCCTCTGTGCTGTTTGTACGCCCACAATGCAACGCGCTTCCCTCACTCTGCCGTACGGGAAGAAACAGGAAGTGTCACGTTTGGTTACACATGCGTCACCTCGGAAACCCAAACATCTCCACTTCAAGTCTAGGAAAAAATATAAAATAAAATAAAATGTCAATTCTAATCTAAAGGATCTCTGTAATGAATAGATTTTTCCTCCATGAACAGCCTGGTCAGCAAGGAATAATCAATGGATCATTATTTATACCTAAAACTAATACGTTTGCAGGGATTTGATGAATTTAGTGTAAATCAGAAAAAATAAAATAAAAATAATAATTTTCGTTGCGATCACCGAGTCTGGGAGCGACATTTTGCCCAAATATAGTAACACCTAAAGGGCTGCTTATCCTCCCGCAGCAGTGTGTTGCAGTGAGCTTGTCGCAGGTATGACAGATATTTCTGGTTTAATGCTGATTTCTACTCAGAAACCAGGTCGTTTGCGTGTGTGTCGCAGTGAATGCAAATATGCCTCGCCCCTTCCGCAGACACTCTGCTGCACCTCTCCAAAATTGTAGCTAACCGCAGACAGGAGGCCTCTGATTGGTCAATTCTACATTCGCTCTACACTATATTTCCTGTTTGGTTCCTTACTGGATTGTTTTGTTTGTATGACCACCATTGTGTAAAACAACTCGTGAAGATGGACCAGCTAGAAGAGGGAGGTGCGCGGGAATGCTGCGACCCTTTTTCCACCTGGATCCCCGCTCTTTTTGGCCCTCATGTCGCTCCGTTGTCGCACAAACTTGCTCCCACTTTCTCACCGCCTTGGCCGTATTTAGACCCACAGCTAGTTCCTGACTGCTGCTGGAGGATAACCAGCCCTTTATGCCCAACAAAATAAGCTGGTAAGGTAGCAAACAGGAAATACGCATAGTTACCCCATTTACTCTACCCTTGAAAAACCGTGCCGAGACCGGTCCGAGCTCAGTAACTGACATAACTTATCGTGTGTAAATGGAAAGCAAACTGAACTGAACCGAGATAGACACAACCGGACCGAGCTAACTGCAGACCAGTTCCAGAGGTGGGCTCGGCTCGGTTTTTCCCTGGCTTGGTTCTCTGATAACAAGAGCGCATGAGCAGAACGCGTCATCTCCGTCTGGCTGCACATCCCGATTCACACTCCATTCCAGTAGTTGCCGGTAATGCCCATCTGGAAGTCTCTTGCCACTCTGAATTAAAAACACTTATCGTTTATTGAACAGGATGGGAAAATTTCATATTTAAAGTATTTTCAGAGGTTTAAATTCTGAACATAACCTGACTTCTCCTTTAAAGCCTAATTTGCTGCAATCATTTCGTAACTTCTTGGGTTTTAGACTCCCGCTGGTCTGTTTAACCTGTAGGTTGAACTTATTTTTGGTGGCATTGATATTAATAATAAGTTACCCATTAAATGTTAATCAGTGGGTTCTCCTTTTTTGAAAGCCTATGTAAAACACAATTGAGCACCACACAATTCTAAAGTAAAATGGATTTTCTACTTAATGGAAAGTACATGTTTTTGGATATTATGTTTTTCAAAGAGTCTGAGCTTCATGGATGACCAGACCACTCAGGTCTTCTGGCTCCAGCCTGCTCTGCATACCTAGAACCAGAACTAAACATGGAGAAGCAGCATTTAGTTCCTATGCTCCACTTATCTGGAACAAACTTCCAGAAAACGGTAAAAGTGCGGAAAGACTGAGTTCCTTTAAATCAAGAGTAAAAACACATTTTTTAGGATTGCCTTCCTCTGTTCTACCTAAACAGTTCAACTAAAACATCATTAGTTCAACTTTTTTAGTTTATTTTTTATTTCTGCATTTTTTATTTTATTTTTTTATTTTTATTTTATTTCCTACTTGCTTTGATTCTGTTTCCTATATTTTAATCATGTAAAGCACTTTGCATTGTCTTTGTACTGAAATGTGAAATTTGCCTAGCCTTGCCTTGCCTATGGTGATATACATGATAGCCTAACAAATTTTCTTTGAAATTCAGCCTCGATTTTGGTGCCAAGATGTATAGTAGGTCACTGTTTAGCATGAATTAGGTGATTACAGTGTTTTTTTTTTTTTTTTTTGCAGTTGCAGTAGGTTGCTGGCAGCAGAGTTGCCAGAAAAGGCTTTACATAGTCATTTACAGCAGCGGTCCCCAACCACCGGGCCGCAGACCGGTACCGGTCATTTGGTACCGGGCCGCACAGAAAAATGTATATATATATATATATATATATATATATATATATATATATATATATATATGATTTATCGACGATCAGAGTCTGAGTGATGTTTTATTTTGAAAAATATAAAAAATTGCGGTATTCTCTCCCAATTACATCAGTCGGTGCATCTGTGCCTCTTGACACAGGTTAATTCAGTTCAAGACTCATCCTATCTATAACATCCTATCTTTGTGAAGCGGGATTTTCTGCAGTTACAGCGACCAAAACAAATCTATGGAGCAGACTGGACATCAGGAGCACACTTCGCCTGTCATTGTCTCCGATTAAGCCTAGATGGGACCGGCTTGTTGCTTTATTTTTATGCTGTTTGTATTTGATTTTATGCCAGTCGTATCATTTTACTTGACCCCCCACCCCCACCCCCAGACATATAGCGGTCCGTGGTGCAAACAGTTTTTTTTTCAAATTTACATTTTACTGTTTTTAAGGGAGAATAGAATAGAATAGAATAGAATAGAATAGAAAATCCCTTTATTGTCCCACAATGGAGAAATTGTGGTGTTAACAGCAGCAAAAACGGGGCCGCCTTTTACGGTTGCCTTTTGTATCTATGCTTCTTTTTCTATGTCTGCTTCTGTCTCCTTGAACCCCAGTGGGCCTCAGCAGATGGCCGCTCATACTGAGCCTGGTTCTGCTGGAGGTTTCTTCCTGTTCAAAGGGAGTTTTTCCTCTCCACTGTCGCTACAAGCATGCTTAGTGTGAGGGATTGCTGAAGAGTCAATGAGTCGATGCAATCAGCTGGTTTTCCTTAGATAGAAAACTTTGAATCAATCTGACTGGATGATCTGGTTGAATTGTAAAGTGCCTTGAGATGACATTTGTTATAGAAATAAATTGAACTAAAATAAAAAAAACATTATAGAATTTACATTATAGAATACAAATATGGACCTTAGATAAATGTATAAGAATAATAATAGTGAGGAGTTAAAAGATTTAAAAAAATTAAATACTGTACTTTAAAGTGTTTTAAATATATGAAAGCTCTGCACCTGGAGAATAAATAACCAATATACAAAAATTATTCATATAGCACCAATTCACAACACTTAATCTCAAAGCACTTTCCTGAGACAATTAAATTAAATTAAACATCATTGGTTTAATGTTTCTAAGGAAATGAAACTGATTGCTATTGTTTTCACTTTTTAGTTTAAATTGATTTTATTCACAACAAACATTGCAATTGAGATATAAACTATAACTCCCATAAAGCAAAGGATACACTTGACTATGCAAGATTCAAATGTGATCATTTGTTTAACAAAAAGGACCACAAGAAAAATTGTTAATGCAAATAAATATTATTAATCTTTTATATACAAGTAAAACTTCACTAAACAAGAAAATTAATCTATTTCCTTGAAAATGTTTTTCATTTTTGTCTTTTCTAATGTAAAACTTCCATTCCATACATGTAACACTATTATCATAAAATTGAATAAACATAAAAATGTTAAATATGAGTAGAAAAAAATGAAAGTATCAAAGTATGCCTTCTTTTTACATTTTCCTGAATAAGTCACCATAAAACATAAGATGAATGCTCTGAATTTAACATAGAAAATGACATTTCTAAAGAACATACATTGCCAGCACAACTTACGTAAATAACCAAAGTGGCATCCTACAAAGTCAAACAAGTTGCTGTCTTCAGTCTATAGCCGTTTTGAAAGGCGTTTTAGTAGGAATATTTTCTGATCAACATTTGGCAATAACAAAAAAGGAACTCATGAATAAGTTCTCACTGATCTATATGAAATTCCATGAAAAGTTCTAGAGGAGAGTTGAAACCCAGCGTTAGACTTAGATCCCTTTGTGAATCCCACCGAGGGAAATTTGTTTGAGCAGCAGGAGACAAAAATAACATGAATTAATGAATGAATGAATAAAACATGTACAATTATAACAAATAAGAAGATCAAAAAGAAAAATATGACAGGACCAAATTTAATTGTAATAATAATAATAAAAACAACAAGGTTGTCTGTGACTGCCTTGTTATGTTCGACTTTCCCTGCTTTCTTGGGAATTATGTTGCCTGAGGTAGATTTGTTCTCTATCTCTGGGTTTATGTCTATAAAATGTCTAAAAACAAACCAACGAACAAAACGAAAAACGAGAAAAGGAATGTAAGGTTGGTATTTGTATAGAAATAAAGTAATATTTGAAAGAAATTGAAATTAAACTATTCAAACTGCTTTAAAATAATAAATAAAAGTAAAAATGTACAAGGCAGCATCATATCTTTCCTGTAGTCTAAAGATGTAGTAACAGGCTGGCCAGCTCTGAAAAAAAAAGAAACCATGTGACCATGAGCAGCAGCAGACAAACCCTTTCTCCCACCTGAAATCAATACTAAGGCTATAATTTTGATTTGAAAAAGTCTTCAAGATAATTACAATTTGACGGAGAGTAATGACCTTCAAGGTGTTTGAAACTCTATTTATTGAATAGTCCTGCCAATATCAGCAACTGTTTCAGATGGCTGTAAAGCACAAACAGTTTAAAGAAAAAAAAATAAAACATTAGACCTATAACATAATTAATGCTATCAGCCGTAAAGAAAATGCATAAAAAGAAGGAAAAAGCAACATCTGCAGCAAGAATGAGCCCATATTTGCTTTCTATGAAGCGGGCCATTAGAAGCTGGACAACATGGAGAGCTATGAAACATGAAAAACATTTTAAAACAAACACGTAGAGCCGAATGTAGCAGAAAAAAATTATAAATTAGTTAAAAGTTCTATTAGTCAATAGCCACAAATATCCAATGAACCAT